CATTTTTTTAAACAAGTCTCACACATCTTATTAAAACCAAGGTATTGGCAATGATTATTGCTGGGTGTAGAAATGGTGTTAACAAGTAATGTTTGGCTGCTTCTTTGCGCTCTCTCTAGCTACTAATTTTTCTTCAGTGAATATGCATTATTTTAATGAAAAATAAAATCTGTAGAGGGATAACTGGGTAGTTTGAGGAACAGCCATAAAAATCTTCATATTTGAAAAGCATCCTAACTGTATTTGGAGTAGAAACACCTGTAGCTTTTTAAAGAGATACTGCTCAAGAGACCCTTCAGGTACATCGTATCCTTCCCTCCAGTCCCTGTACTGGGTAACTCATACCATATAGAGTTTAGTTGTGGAATGGTCTATAGAAACCTCCATTTTTAGCTGTATCTTGCGTCCCCTGGTGCCACTGCCATAGCTTTAATTCAGGCTCTCATCAGTGATCATCTGCCTCATTCTCTCAGCTTCGCCCGGTCTCCTCCCCCAGCCACTCCCTGAAGTGTGGGTCTGGTTGGTTGCTCCCCTGATTGACTTCCTTCAGTAGGCGGCCAGAGATCCTGGGGTGGGAGCGTGAATTCCTTAGTGCCACATGTCGTGCCCCTCCCCTCTCTGTACACATCGCCTGCTGCTGCATGTCCCCTGTCATGCCCCAGGCCTTTGTACCTGCTCCTCCTTGCTCTTCCCACTCGTCTGGCTTGTTCATACTCTGTCCTCATTGAAGGTTGGGGCTGCCTCTGTGGAGTCCTGCCCAAGTCCTTGGTACAAACTCTTAAGCTTAGGCCCCAGGCTCCCCAGGGCACCAAGTCCTTGGTACAAACTCTTAAGCTTAGGCCCCAGGCTCCCCAGGGCACCAGGCACATTCTAGGTACATGATCAGGTCTGTTTCCCATGGCTGCTTGATGGCATGGACTTCATGTTTTTCAGATGTGCTTGGAATGTGATAAAGACTTAATAAATATATGTCAAATGAGTAAGTCCATAGGAATTTAAAATGGGCTTCTAAAATTTCTCTTTTCATCAATTATAAAAAGTACTTGGAAGAATCAAATAACCCAAGAAAATATTAAAATAGAAGTTAATCTTTGAAACCTTTGCTCCAGTTAGTGGTAACCCTTTCTCTTCTCAGGAGGTAGTCTCGTGTGCTGGGGCATCCAGCTGTTATTCCCTGAGGTATATTTTTTTTTTTGGAGAGAGAGTCTCGCTCTGTTGCCCGGACAAGAGTGCCATGGCGTCAGCCTAGCTCACAGCAACCTCAAACTCCTGAGTTGAAGCCATCTTTCTGCCTCAGCCTCCCACGTAGCTGGGACCACAGGCATGCGCCACCATGCCCAGCTAATTTTTTCTATATATTTTTAGTTGTCCAGATGATTTCTTTCTATTTTTAGTAGAGTCGGGGGGTCTCACTCTTGCTCCAGCTGATCTCGATCTCGAACTCCTGACCTTGAGCAATCCTCCCACCTCAACCTCCCAGAGTGCTAGGATTACAGGTGTGAGCCACCATGCCTGGCCTCCCTGAGGTATATTATAGCACCATCCTTCCAAGTTGTACTGCACAGTGGATGCAGAAGAGAAGGAGTGGGGGCTCGATCCAGCCAAACTGCTTCCTTACTGAGAGATCTTAGGAATGTTACTTAACCTCTCTGTGCTTCCATTTCTTCATTTAGTAAAGGAAACTAAAGAGAGTTTCCTCACAGGTAGTACATGAGATAGTACAGGAAAGGTGCCTGAAATGCATTCATTCACTTGATAAATATTTATTGAGTGTGCCAGACACATCTTAGTGTCCAAAATGGGTGCCCTTAATGGGAAGAAAGACAAGAAGCAAATAAAGAGCCAGGCAGAGAACACAGCAGGGCGTAAGAGGCTGAAACTGGCCACCTTGGAGGAGGTGCTGATTGACGAGAGACCTGAAGGAACTGAGGGCATGAACAAGGGTATGCAGGAGTGTGCAGCAGCAGGCGGGACCAGGATGTCCTTGTCCAGGCTGCGGTTTTTATTCTGAGCGGGACAGGAATCATCAATAGCAAGGACTCAATACATAGATGTTTCCTGAGTTTTTCTCCCTGCCCTCTTTTTTTTTTTCCTTTTTTCCCTCTTAAACAATATGAAAGTATTTCCTAAACTGTTCCACTGTGATGTAGCCCAGGGCAAGTCGTTTAGTTTTACTCTGATTTTAGTTTGCTGAAACCCCAGGAAAGATTATACCTTCTTTAATCAATATACCTATAAATTAGTACTAAATATTGAGAAAGTGCTTTGAAATTTTGGAAAGTTATACAAACATCTGGAATGGCTATTATTACCGTAGTGATTTCTGTGCTTCTGATGCCTTGGTCCTTGGACTTTGATTCTACGTACTACTTCCCTTTCTGGTATTCCTAGGCTCCACGCTGGATACGCCAGCTGCTTATACAATCAAAAATTGTGTTCTCTACTCCTCAAAGTCACATTTGGGATGATAGGTCATTTGTCAAATGCCTCACTGGCAGCCCAATTTGGGGAAGAACACTATGTATAGGCAAGATGTCTGTTAAATGTGGTTCATGTTAACGTGGCAAATGTCCAGTAGATTTGTCAAACTTCTAAGAGAATAAATACCATATGTCATCACCATTGAAGTTGTGGGTCAAACATGGAATGACTTAAACTATATAAAACCCTTATCATCAGAAGTTTTCCAGCAAAATACTTTGAAGTAGTTCATATTTAGAAATGAGAAGTGAGTGGTGCTATTTATTAATAACTTGCCTGAATGCAGTTAATACAGAGCTGAGTGGTTTTTACTTTTTTAAAGATTTTGTATGTATTGCTTGGTTGTATCTGTTGATTAGGTTCAGAAACACCAGAGGAACCTAGATTTGGGAAGAATAAGAAATCAGGTTAACCCTTTGCCACATTCAAACGTAAATAGTGTTTAAAAATTCTTAAATTTTTCAAAGATAGAGTTTTCTTTACTTGAGAAACCTGAAACCTCTTATTATGCTTAATCAACTTAAGCTTGGGAAGTTCTTTCTTATGTCTGGCCCAAATCTTCTACGATTTAAGTACATTTCTTTTTCTCTGTGCAAATGAAAAACAGCTGCCCAGCCTTCCCCATAACAACCTTCCTGTACATGAAGATGGTTATTAAGTTACCCCCTAGCCTTCTCGCCTCTGGACTAAGTACTGCCTTTAACTCATCTTCAAAGTTTCCATTTTCTACCCCTTTAATCATCTCTTGATCTCCCTAAACTTTTCTACATCCTTCTTTAAATGTGGATTCCAAATTGGAACATAATATTGTAACAAGAGTTCTCACTATTTACTGGAGTCACTACCTTTTTAGGCAGTCATATGTCATGGTAATTCATGTGTGAAATCCAGCAATTTTATCAACATCCAAAAAGATGAGATGTAGTACTAACAATTCCTTTTACAGTGGGCTGGGCCTAGATGCTGATTTTGGAGTCTTAGCCTTTTTGTAACCCAATCTCCAGGTCTGTTCTGAGAAATTAGGCTCATGAGTTCCTACTATCTTCCCTTTTGGCTTTGGTGACCAGTTCTATAGTACAGGAATCCTGTCCCAAGCACTATTTCCTCTTAGGCCAAACTCTTCCTGTACTTCTAGTTCCATTTCTCAATCAAAGATACTTACAGTGAATACTAAATCACTTAGGGTCTCTCACTTCCTCCCCCATGACAGTTTGCTTTGAAACAGCTACCAGACAAGTGGCATTGTATTGTGTCTGTTCTCATTGAAATTACAGAGGGAGAAAGACCTTTTGAAAATGGTCTAGAGAGCATAGGAAGGTAAACAGAAATTAATTTTCCAGTGCCCATTACTTAGGCAGAGACGTGCAACATGTCATTGAAGTTGTCTTGATCATAGGCAATCTCTGTTGTTTGGGACTTTGATTGATTCACTGATGTGACGTCTCTCTAACCCCTCCCCTTCTCTTTTCCCTAAAAATTTACGTTCCCCAGATGGAAATGCTTCTTGTGTGGAGATTTTCAGAATCATGACTGTCAACTGTGGCAGGCATATAGGTCCAACTGAAGAGATTCATAGCTTACTTCTGCAAGCCTCCCATGTTCGAGCAAAGCCCGGCCCAGGCACTTGGACATTTCACTCTTTGATCAGCTTCTACAGGAAGCAGAGATGCTAGTAGCATCAGCCATTGGCCAGCATGTGACCTTGGACAATGCAGGCAGGAGGGCAGGAAAGAGTTTGACCAGAATGATTATGTAGTGAGACTCCTTAGGTTAGCATGACTGTCTAGATACTTCAGGGTCTGTTTTATATGTGTGACCAAGAGATTTGCTTATACATGATACGAAATCCTTATTATCAATTTTCCCTCTCTCCAGGTGTTGGGGCTCATTAAGCATTTCCTCACAGGTAGTAATTGTCTTATACTTCTGAGTGAAGTCATTTTGCTATGCAACCAAAACTTGAATTCTTGGATAGCTGGGACATGAGGTTTGGAATAATAGATTACTGGGGTCATATTGAAAGAATAAATGAAATATAGCTGACCTGTATTTCACAATAAGATATAGTATTAAAAATGTCAACTGTTTGTGCTTAGATATGACTAGATTCCAGAAAGGAACATTTCCATGGACCATGCCTACTCTTCATTGGAAGTGAGGTAGATTATTTTTATTTAGTTCCATTGTGATTAATCACTAGGATACTTATGTACAGTTAAAAGACATTTAATAGGGCACCTAAATTTTTTTCCTTCTTCAAGGAGATTCAGAATTCTAATGGGATAAATAAGACTTTACTAGGTTTATGAGCTTATATTTGAGGACAGAAGCTTACAGATCTGGTGTCTTCTTGCAGTAAACTTGGAGCAATGTCCAGATGTCTGTTTTCTTCACTGCTAAACATGTATTCTTGGATCACTGAGCAGGCCTTGTGAACTGCATGTCTGCCCTGTGGGGCACTGGACCTGCAGGCAAGAGGGCAGTGCTGCATGTAACTTCTCATTTTCTCTTTTTTCCAGTCTAACAGGCAACCAGCTAAGTTGAACCTTCTCACCTGCCAGGTGAAACCAAATGCCGAAGACAAGAAGTCTTTTGACCTGATATCACGTGAGTCCTTTTTCTCTCTGAGTCAGTTATTGTGGCTTCTGACACCTGCACATTTCCATTCTCTGGGTGTTAAAACAGCAGCTCTTTCAAGCAGGGCTCTTCGGAGTTGGCACCTGAACAGTTTCGTATTATTCCTGCATATGCAGCTCTAGGAAGATCCCTCAGGTCTCTTAATTTCCACTGAGCCCATCTGCAGTTGGTATGGCATTGCGGTGTCAGATCTGACCAACCAGCAGTAGAATAAAACCTAGATTTGTATGTTCAGCTAGACCAACGATCACTGTGAGTACATAGCTTTATTCCCCTGGAGAGATTTTTCTAAGCAAATTCCCATTCGTCTCTTAGATCTGCTGAATTACAGTCTTTGGTGTGAGGCCCAGATACAGGTCTCTTTTTTTTCTCTGTAGCCCCCAGGTGATTCTAATGTGCACCTGTAGTTAAGAAGCACTGATGTAGATCTGGAAATGCAGGTGTGCCGCTATATGTATACAGCTAATTTGCCCGGAGTTCTATCCCTGTAAAATCAGGCACTTAAAGGAAAAAACATTTTTCTTGCTCCCAAGCAGAACTGCCTTCAGACTATGAATTGATGGCATTGCATTTCATCCCTTTCTTACTTCATGGTTGAGAGATTTCTTTTCTCTCTTGGTAAGGGAACATAATGAGCCCACACACCCCATAGCCTGGGGCTTGTGTTCTCATAGCGTTTAGAGAGTGGGGGTGGGAGGGGATGTTTTCCCCTGGGGCTGGCTCCCTGTGCTCATGCTGGTTCATGTGGCTGCATTTATTGACCCACGCTGTAGCTGAGTGGACACCTCCTTTGTAAAGAGAGAGGATGGCAGTGTCAGGGAAGTGACTCTCACAAATATCCTGAAATCTTATAGCACTGACCTTAAGTATTTTTCCTTCTGTATCACAACCCAGCAAGGCAGGCCAACAGGCAAAGTACATGATCGATGTGTAGAAGCACAAAAATACTTTCCTGCCCCTTGAAATCCTTTTGATACAGTTATATGAATGGAAGTTCAAAAACAGTCCTAACTTAAAAAATTGAATCAGTCATGGGGCTCTTTGTGCAGTCTAAGCCAGATTCTCATGGCATCTTAATAAAGTTTAGATTCCCCTTGATTTTCGTGACCAAGAGATTTCTTGGGTTATTGATGAGAAAAAAATATGAAAAGTTGGAATTATTATATGACTTCAAAAAGCCAAGAACCCCTAGATTTGAGAACCTGTAGGTTCTGACAATAATAGTTGTCAGTTATAGGCCATGTATTATGTGCCAAGTGTTTTATAAACAATATTGCTAATTCTCACAAAAACCCTCTCACTTTCCCATTTGACAGAAGAAAAACTAAGGCTCAGAGAGGTTCAGTGTCTTATACGAGGTCACACAGCAGTAAAGCAGGGATTCGACCAAGGCTGTTAGGTGCTGCTACCCATGGTGTGTTCTTTGACATACACATCATCTCTCTCCCCAGGGAGAATGAGGGATATGATTGCCTAACTCGGAGCAGTCACACAGGAAGTGCTCAGTAAATGTTAGTTTGACCTGAGTATATTGAAGCTTTCTCGAAAATCCTGAATTTTAAGAAAAAGCTTCTCTCATTATATACCTGCCTGAAGTATCCAAGTTAGACCACTCCTTCCCTTACCAGGGTAGCAGCAGTTGAGCCTTTCTTTACTGCAACCTGATTCAGAGTAGCCCTGACATCTGAGGCACAATTTGCCTAGTGCTGGAGCAACCCTGTGGATTAAGTGTCAGAGTGAACAGGGGAACAGTGAATGAATCACTTCTGAAAAGGAGATATAAAAAGAAAAAACATGGTAACAATCAAATTTAAAATGAAAAAGGAAATACTGAATTGACAGCAGGCACTCCAGCTTCTCATGGAAATGCATTTGGATCAGATAGAACCTTCCCCCCTTCTTACTGCTTTTTCAAAAGAGATACCAGATATGTACATGGTATTTATGGTTATTTTATTATATTCCTATTGCACATAAAAATAATATAGACAAAATGAATTGTGTAGCTGCTGAAACACAATGGTGTAAAACTAAAATAATACTAAAATCCTACTTATGCTGTGTTTTTTTTTTCCCCAGGAAGTTTAAAAATCTGCATTATACCTGAAGGTGCCCTGCTTTCTAAGGTTTCACTCACTTTTCTTTTTTGTATTTTAGATAATAGGACGTATCACTTTCAGGCAGAAGATGAGCAGGATTATGTAGCGTAAGTAGTTTTGAAATAACAGTACGATGCCTTGGATTGAAAAAGTGCCTCTCTGCTGTGCAAGACATCTTAATGTTTTCATTAGTAAGAACTAACTACTCCCCGTGGCTCCCCTCGCCACTTTTTCACCTCTGGGGTGTCACTTGTGGCTCTTCTCTCTGTCTGTGGTGTTCAGTCTTGTCTACTCAGTAAACTCTGGTGCCTCCTGCAGGATTCTGCTCATGCTTCACCACCCCTGGGCTTATTGCTTCCTTCTCCCTTCCCGATGCCTCTTCACACCCCACTGTGATCCTCTGGAGCACATCTGCAGCCCTCTAGAGACCAAGAACTTGTTGAGGACAAGGACTGTGCCTTATGTATCTTTTAGTCACATCACCTCTACTTATGAATGGCTCCCTCAATGTTTAGTGGCCAAATGCATCAGCCAGTCTACCTGGAGACTTGGTTGTTATTGGGAAGAGTAGCAGAGCCTGGTGCTGAAGGAAGAACACTGGCAGGTACCTTTCACTGGGGTGAACATGGCTCAGTTAAAGGGAGCCTGGTGTCTAAGGAAAGACCAGGTTTGGTATCACGTATTCCTGAGTTGGAATCCTGCACTCACCTGACCAGGTATGCAACTGTAGGTAGCCCCAGCCCCCTTTTTTTTTAAACATTATCCCTGGTCCTAAGTCATCTTCATTCCCCTTTCCTTCCTGTAGCTTGCCTGAACTGAAAAAGACAGTGTGTGACTATTACATTCTCAGCTGCTTGGGAGAGGGACATTTGTGTTAAAGTGGGCTATTACCTTTTTTATAGTGTTTAAATTTTTTTTATTTCTAATAAGTACTTGGGGTAATTTGGACCAAGTTTCATGAACTGTCAAGCTTCCTGTCTCATCAGTGGCACACACTAAATGCTGTTTCCCTTCCTTGATTATTTTCATAGAGCCATGGAATTCTGTTCACACACTTTTTGCCTTACACTCACCTCTTTTCTCTCTGTCTCTCTGTCTCTCTCTCTCTCTCTCTCTCTCTCTCTCTCTCTCACACACACACACACACACACACACACACACACCCCACCCACCCCGGGAGTATTTTACTCTTTCTCCATCTCAAAAGAGAAATGATAAGGGATCAGAACGAGAATAGAACAGGGTTAGTAGAAAGGAGCAGAGTTGGGAAAAACAGCTAAAAAAGAAAAAATAAAAAAGCTTACAAGGAAAAGGAGGAGAAAGGTCTAATTAGCTATTCATTCCCTGAATATTTAATGAATGCTGACTATATGCCAAGAACTATGCAAAGCACTGAGAATACAACAGGACATTAGCGGGAGCCCCTGCCCTGAAGGAACTCGGTCTTTGCTAGAGGAGACAGGCGACATGGCATGATGTAGGTGCTAAGTTCGAGGACAGAGGAGGCCACATGCTGGGAATGCAAACCGCACACTCAGGGCACATACCGTCTTGGATTCTTGGAGCTGTTTCTCATAGATAATTTCCTAGAGGAAGGTAAACCTGAGCTGGCTCATAAAGATATGAGAGGTTATGAATACACTCCAGGTAGGAGGTTCTGGTGGCTTAGAAGCAACAGGGTGGAATAGGAAGGAAGGGATTGGTGCCTTGATGTTAGGGGTATAGAGCTGGCCCACTGGAGGGTGACTAGAAATCAAACGAGAAAGGGAGAAGTCAGAGGGCTGACCTTCCACCTACAGATTCAGAGAGAGGTAATATTTCTAATGAAAATAGAGATCTTACTATTCTGAATGTACATCCTGACTTACTAATCCTCACAACCCCAGAAAGTAGGGACTTTTATCTCTAATTTCCAAATGAGGAAGCAGGCACAGTGTGCCCATGGTCACAGTCCTAAAAAGCTAGGATTTGAACCCAGACAGAATTCCAAAATCACCTTGGCATATTGTTTCCCCTTCTTTGGTTTCGCTTTCCTCCTCTTTCCCCCTTCTCAAAGCCTTAATTGGAAGAAGATAGGTGAGCACTTAATGTGAGGCAGGGACCATCCACTTTCTCTTGTCATGATAATCAGAAAATATATATCTTCTGTCAAACCCAGGCCTGCGACATTGCATTTACTATTATGACTTATAGGTAATTCAGTCCCAGTTTTAAAGAAATACTGGTTTCCTGCCTGCAGGACCTAACATTTTTCAATAAAAGGGTTGCTTAGTCCATCCTGAAGTTGGTGCACATTTTGCACTTAAATTCTCTTTGGATGCTGGTGGTGATAAGGGGACCTTGGTTTGAGTGATGCAGGAGGAATGGCAGTCCACAAAGAACTCACATGACCTGGAGGGAAGCCTCAGTTCTTCATTTACCTCCAGGTTCCATACAGACAATTCTACTACTTCATTGAGTTTTCTCTCCTGTGAAAATGTCCGGTGAAATTAAACAAAGAAATTCCTTCTCACTGAGGAAGGAGGCAGTTGCAAAAAGAGCCAGATGCATGTTTAATGTCAGGCCAACTTGGCTTCTAGTCCAGGCTCTGCTGGTAATTGGCTTTTTTTTGTTTGTTTGTTTTTTTAAAGATACAGGGTCTCACTATGTTGCCCGGGCTGTACTTGAACTCCTGGGCTCAAGTGATCCTCCCACCTGAGCCTCCCAAGTAGCTGGGACTACAGGCACGTGCCACCATGGTTTGTGGCTTTTTAATCTTATGCAGATCATCTGGCTTCAGTCTTCTCATCAGTAAGATAGGAATTATTTACCTCACTTGAAGAGTTTTGAGAGGATGAAAGGTGTAAAGCTCCTAGCAACAGTGCCAATTTATTTTTTATCTTGTAAAGCTCAAAGTAGCTTTTAAAGTATTAAAATACAATTATGCATTATTTTGTTTCTTATACTTCTGGGGTATGCTTGTTACTTTAAAATAATTTAAAAGTTAAAAAATATTGTCAGAAATAGTTGCTTTGATTCTTGACCCTTTTGAAATGTAACCATTCCATTCTACCAAACTTAACTTATTTCCTCTAGAAAATCATCCTTTAAATATGTATTTTCTGATTATCATGACATCTTTATTTCTTTATTTGTTACAAGCTCCTGAGTAAAGAGGCAAATGAAAGGAACTCTGAAAAGGGGGTCAACAAAAGTGTTTTTTTATCCCAATCTAGTCTGACACAATCCAGCTTCAGGGCCTTGGGCAAGTCACGTAACTTCTCTGGGCTTCAGTTTGAGGCTTGTTGGAGGATTCTGCAGTTTGAGTATCCCTTATTTGAAATAATTGGGACCAGAAGTGTTTCAGATTTCAGATTTTTGGATTTGAGTTGCTCAAATGTATTTCAAAAATTATAAGTACTTGGTACGTACTAGATACTGGTCAATATTAGATAGCTAGATGTCGTACATGCTTGAAGAAAGCAAAGCAGAGACTCCGTAGTCAAAGTGAAAAACCCAGTAACATAACTGCTGCTGATAAAGTGCAATGATCAGTTCTGTTGAACCCAGTTTCTTGAATTGTTTTTAACAAGAGTTTCTAGTTTCTAACTTGACACTAAATGATAGGGAAAAATACTATTTAATCTAAAAGATATCAGATGCCCACCTCACCAATTCCTAGACAATTGGTTTTGAAATGTTTGGTGTCTACATCACAGAAAAGTGAAGCAGTGCATAGCATGTTTCTCACAACATACTGAAGGTGAATGCCACCTAGAGTCAGAGGTGTGACTTGCATTCACATACTCCAAGAACATAGCTTGGTTTGGTTTTTAATTCTCTTCCTGTCATTGTTACTTAGTCAAAACCTTTTGCCAACAATACTTTGTTTCATATCCATTTCATCTTGTAACATACAAAAAAACAGAGACCCACTTCTGAACCTTTTTATTATCTGTTAAGAGCAAACATTAGCTGTCTATGCAGTAGGTAAGAAAAAATAGTGATTTGGAAATGTTTTTCATTTTCTTTTTAAAAAGTAAATTTGGTCCCCCCCCCCATTCATAAAAGTAATACAAGCTCCTTTTCGATTTGAAAAATTGCAGAAAGACACAGAGACAAGCAATCCCTCTAGCAATTTTTTCCCACAGAAAATCATTTAGGGACAACCACTATTGACATTTTGGTGAAATTCCTTCTAGCCTTTTTTCCCCAAACAGAAATACATAATATATACATACATTTAAATTGGAGGTTATATCATATAACAGGTTTTTCTCCTGTTTATTTTACAGAGCATTTCATTGTGAGCATTTCTCCAGTGTCAACCAAAAATTATTTGAAAACTTAAATTCTAATGCCTGTTTAACTGTCCACTTTGTGGTTATTTCATAGGTTATTAATCATCCCCCTGTTATTGGGTTTCTATGTTGTTTTAGTAGCAAAGTGTTATTTTGTTTGGTGCACGTGGTGATCATGCTGTATATATAATCAGCCTGCACTGTTCATTTCATATTATAAATGTCACCATGTTTCCATGTTAACATGCCTTTTTCATGTGCATAGATTTTTATGGCTGCTAATGAAGTATCTCTTCATTTTCACTTTTAAATGTCCCCACTGACGTGGACTTCCAGAGAACAGATGCCTTTTGCTAAACTCTCTTTCCTGCCTCCTACCCATTTCTCATTTCTTTCTCATCCTTCCGTTGGGTTAGTCCCTGATGAGTCCTTTCCATTCTGACGTTCCCTTTACTCTGTCTGCACCGAAATGTGAGCACCTTGTATATTCATGCAAGTCCTCAGTTACATTGACTTTTGCTTTTCTCATCTGTTCCTCTCATTCCTCTCATTTTCCCCCATGTGTTGCTTTCCATTCTTTTACTTTCCTTCAAGTTTAATTTCTTTTATATTCCCTCACTTTATTGCTATTTTGGGAGGGAGTTTCTCTTTTGGAAGTTCTTGATGAAGGTAGATTTTTTACAGTGGAGGGAGAAAACGCCAGCCATGCTCCTATAAAGGTCTTTTTCCTCTTGTGTTTTTGATAACAGATGGATATCAGTATTGACGAATAGCAAAGAAGAGGCCCTAACCATGGCCTTCCGTGGAGAGCAGAGCACGGGAGAGAACAGCTTGGAAGATCTGACAAAAGCCATTATTGAAGATGTCCAGAGGCTCCCAGGCAATGATGTCTGCTGTGACTGTGGCTCATCAGGTATTTGTCCTCATACTTGAACTGGCCTGTTAAACATCCTTTCTCTTCCTGAAGAATATAAAATGAGCTAGTTATGTAAAAGCCTTATCTCCTGTGGACACACTTAGATACACAACCCATATTCCCATCTTGACTATTCCCACCACTAAGCTGTTCTTACCTATGCCATTTTCTCGACATGGAAAGCTCCCACCTGCTCTCCTAAATGGTCATCTGCCAAAATGCTGCCTTTTCTATAAGGCCCAGTTAAATAAGCACCATAAACATTATGGAGAGAGCAAGGGGCATGGAGTCCACATTTTGAGTCAGTCTGCCACTCACAGTCTGGGTCTGGACAATCCATGCTGAGTCCCTTTACTGTTCTGATCTGCAGTTTCCTCATCCTAAAAATGGAATAATAAACTTCTTGTTATGAGAACTTAATGAATGGAATGGAGCGTATGAAATTAATTGACATGTGGTACATGATTTTCCTTCCTTCCTGTTTAGTGAAACCCTCCCTAACCTCTATGCCACATTGATGTCACCTTCTCCCAAACTTCCATTTTAAAATAGCACTATATTACCTAGGTATTGGCAATAGCTAACATTATTGAGTGTTTCCACTGTACTAAGGATTGTACTAGATGTTTTGCTTACATCATCTCATTGAATCCTCATGAAAGCTCTACCCCCATTTTACAGATGAGGAACCTGGTTCTCAGAGAGGTTGAGTGACTTGCATAAGGTCACACAGCTAGTGGGGTCAGAACAGAGATGTAAACCTGGTGTTCTTAAGTACTATTATATACCTTTTTATTTCACTTGTGAAACTAACTCCTCTACACAAGATACCATGAGCCACCTCAGCGAAAAGTCTCAAGTTTTCTACTGTCTTCATGTACGTGTGTGATAGTGACTTACAGTGTGAGGAAATAGCAGGCAAGAGATAAATGTTCAGGTATTAACCAGTCAGAACAAAGCATGACACACAGAGAACCCTAAAGATTTTGGTAACACAGAAGTAATTGCTCCCACTGTTCTGGAGCCATTGGAGGTTGTGGGAAAAAAGCCTTAGGTCACTGAAACATTTGGTGTTCAATATTTGCAGCTATCTTATTACCAAGAGGTGCTTATGATGAAGCCATAATCAAAAATGATAGGCTAATGTTACTTGTCACTTGAAGGTTAATGATAGCTGTAGTATCCAGTCCCTTGTGAGCAGTACTTAATAGACCTTCCATTGCTGTCAGAGATGGTAGTGGCAATGAGAGAACATCTCTCATAAGTTCTAAGGATGTTGCATAGGATCTCTTAAAAGCCTTTCTTACATTTTCACAAGGATAAAGTGCTTAATTTTTATTTCAATGTAGTTATTTTTTTTTTTTTTTGAGACAAAGTCTCACTGTGTTGCCCGGGCTAGAGTGCCGTGGCGTCAGCCTAGCTCACAGCAACCTCAAACTCCTGGGCTCAAGCGATCCTCCTGCCTCAGCCTCCCGAGTACCTGGGACTACAGGCATGCGCCACCATGCCCAGCTAATTTTTTGTATATATTTTTAGTTGTCCGATTAATTTCTTTCTATTTAGTAGAGACAGGGTCTCGCTCTTGCTCAGGCTAGTCTCGAACTCCTGAGCTCAAACAATCCGCCCGCCTCGGCCTCCCAGAGAGCTAGGATTACAGGCATGAGCCACTGCGCCCGGCCTCAATGTAGTTATTTATTTATTTAGTTAGTTTCCAAAGGGAAACTTTTATAATAGCCTCTTGGCTAAATCACAAGCATTCTTTCTTCCAGTTAAGACTTTCCTTCATTATACTTCTTAACAAGTTTTACTACTACTGTTTTAGTTTCTTCTGTGGTTGGCCCACTAAAATCAGATATTTTGTTTGTTTCATCGTCTTCAAAATTCTTTCCGCAGAACCTACCTGGCTTTCAACCAACTTGGGTATTTTGACTTGTATAGAGTGTTCTGGCATCCATAGGGAAATGGGGGTTCATATTTCTCGCATTCAATCTTTGGAACTAGACAAATTAGGAACTTCTGAACTCTTGGTAAGTACTTAAGTGTACTTCAGAAGAAAACTTTACATTTATAAACCATCATGGATATATTTAATGTATTTCTTTGGATTTTTGTTTCTGCTGAATGCAAAGAATTCTAATTACTGGATTTTATGAATTTGCATGGATATTTAAAATGTAACTTCTGTGGTGTGTAATGTTGACTATTTCTATTTCCTATTTGAAGAAAGTAAATTGTACATTTCTGTAATTAATGAAACTAGCTCTTTTCTTTTGGGATGGGCTTTTTCAGACTGCTTTTTTCTTTATGAATTAGTTTTCATATGATTCACTATAGTAGCAGTTAAGTGTTCACATTACCTAGTGGCTTGTGTTATTAAAAATAATGACTAAAGAATTTTTCTCAATTATATTTTTATTATTTGTAAACTTATAAAAGTACACATGAATTAGAGGAGTGGCCTATTAACTACCATAAAACTGGATGTTCTCTAACCGATAACTCCTTTAGGTAGTAAGGAAAAAAAATTCTGAAATTATATTGCTTAGCTTTATAATACAAAAAAAGGTTGTGAACACTTAAACTTGTTTTTCTTTAACCCCTGCCCTTTCTGTCATGGTTCACCCAAATTTGGGCCCATTGTCAAGTCCAAGTTACATTGCTCCCTGCCATACACCAAGAAAAGGAAAGGGAGGTCCACTTGGCATCCCCCCGTAATGCCTCATGGTCATGAGCCCTGTCTTGCGTAATTTTAACCCTGGTGCATTGTGAGAGCTTCTGTGTGGTAAGAGTCAGATGTTTTAAGTAAAATAGGACTCCTCAGACAGAGGCTCTCCTTTGAGCAGAACCTGAGGAACCTGGGCTCAAAAAAGCTGAAGGTATAGCTTATCACTAGCCTTAACTGGAGAAAAGTACCAAAAAGTCAGGGCAGTTAGTCACCCAGCTGGCAGCCCTGGCCATCTGACATCCATTAAGCAATGATGGCCTGTCTTGAGTGGACAACACAAGACACTCTTTTTCATTTAGAAAGTAGGGAATTATCATGCTGATACTCCCTAATTCACTTCAGGATTATAGAGAAAAGGCTCAGACCTAACACTTGGAATGCATTCTTCTTCAGTGCAGAAATGGTGTTGCTCCATCTCCTTGACTTCTATTAACAAAACCCAGTTTGATAACTAGAAATGGGAAAGTCCAAATCCTAAACTCTTGGCTGTGCGATAAACCCAAGAGTTTCCCCCAAAGACCTGGTTGTGTGAATATTTCTTTACATCGATCCCAAAATTACATGACTGAATAGAGGCCCTTTAGGACAAATATTCTTGGAATGATCTTGAACCCAGAAGCAAAATGCTTCCTGGGTCCTCTGTTGCCTGCAGGATCTTAATCTATACCCACATATAAAGTAATCCTGTGTCTTTTTCTGTCCTATGAGTAAATTTGTTCAGTATAAAGGAGATACGATGGTGGTTGAAAAACTTTTGCTGTTCATTAAGAGTTTAACCTAGACTCATATAATGGAACTTGTGTTGTCTAATCTCAGACAGTTTGTATGTGTGTGGAACCAGATCCTATTCTATTGTAGCATTTATGACATTATATTAATATTTGTAGACATTATTGATTTTCTAGTGGGCCCATTATTGATGGGCCCACTAGACTATTAGCACCTGTGGGAAGGGAATGTGGTTTACCCATCTCTGCATTTCCAGCACTCAAAGTTCAGCACCTGGCACATAGTAGATGCTCAGTAAATATTTGTTGACCAGATGGCTTATATCATAAGTCAAATGAGGGAAAATACATATTTAGAAATCTCAAAAGCAAATAATAGGAAACTTTTCACTATTTGTAAAGAGCTTGCTATATTATCTTTTGTTTGTTACAGCTGGCCAAGAATGTAGGAAACAATAGTTTTAATGATATTATGGAAGCAAATTTACCCAGCCCCTCGCCAAAACCCACCCCTTCAAGTGATATGTAAGTATTTCTAATATATTGACTTTTACAATTCCGTAATTGTTTTTTTACCCTCTCAAAAAACTTCTTAGTTTTTTATAGTGTTTTTTCCCAGAGGAAACCCCATTATCAGGGAAAGGTAAAGAGAGTATTTTGAAATGTATTTCTGGGATAGATGCTTTTCACCATCACCTTCCCCTAGGTAGTTACAGCCGAGCACCCACTCTGTGGAGCTTAGATCTTCATGAGGCAGGTGTGGGTGGAGGGAACTGAGCAAGAGGGAGATGGATAGGAGGTGCCATGTGAGATGGAGATGGGCCAGATCATGTAGGGCTTGGAGGTCATGGGATGTTTGGGGATTTTATTCTAAGTATGACTGAGAGGTTTTAAACAGGAGTGGCATGATCTGAGTTACATTTTAAGTGGATCAGTTTAGCTCATTGGTTCTTAACTAAAGATGACTTTGCCCCCCAGAGGGTACTTGGCAATGTACAGAGACATTCTTTTGTGACGACTTGAGCAGATAATACTGGCACCCAGCGGGTAGAGGTCAGCGATGCTGGTAAACATCCTCAGTGCATGGATAGGACAGCTGTCCACAAGAATTATCCAGCCCAAAATGTCAGTAGGGCCGAGATTGGAAGACCCAGCTGCAGCTGATATATGAAGGACAGACTGTACTGACGGTGGAGGGCAGATGGAATCAGATTAGAGAGAAGCTGTTACTCCAAATCCCTGAGAGGTAAAGGTAAATCGGACGAAGGTAGTAGCAGTGAAGATGGTGAAAGTAGTTGAATTCTTAATATATTTTGAAGGGAGAGCCAAGAGGATTTGCTGATCAGTTTAAATATGAATTTAAATAAGAATTGTCACGACGACACCCAAGGTTTTTGGCCTAAGCACCTAGGAAGATGGACAGTACCATTAACTGAAACAGTTGAGGAGGAGAGGACCAGGCTTAAGCAGACAGATAGGGAAAATTGTCTTTATCAGCCATAGGACTAGAATTCTGGTATCTAGATTTTTAGAGAAATCTATTTTCCACTCTCCCTATTGCCCCGATGTCAGAAAGTCTTTAATTGCCAGGGTACTGTGGGCTGAGTGCACAGAAAGAGCCACTTGAACTGAAGTAAAGAAACTGATTTCTCAAGAGAAGAAAAATGCATGCCACCCCCTCAGACTTTGGGCAGGTTATATGTGTGGTCTCCTGCAACCTCTGCAGGAAAGATGTTCATCTTTATCCTTTTGCAATTCAGTGCTTGGCCTTGGGGGTTGCTTTAATGACAACCTTTCTGAGCCTCAGGTTCCTCACTTATAAAAAAGTAGTTGTTGCAGATAACAAAAATCCTTTCCATGAAGCTCTGAAAACTTTGAATCGGTCTTTCAGAATGTTTTAACTTTTTAAATTTTTAAATTTCTTCATATACTTGTATGAACCTGGGTTTGAAGTATTTGTAAGTAGCAAATTTCTCACATTATTGGTCAAGGTGGAAAAGAAATCTGCTGTGGTCTATGTGCCTGTTAATTTTGTAACTATATATATTACCTGCACATACTAGTAAATATGTATCAGTTTCTTCATTCTGTCTCTATTGGGATAACCTGGTCTAAAGCCTAGTTTGTTTGAATATTGAAAAGAAGCGTATCTAAATTAAAATAACTCTTCTCAAAGAGAATTGATTGTCAGAAAAATGTAAGTCTTCCTCAGCACTTGGAAAATAAAAATTCTTTGTTCATTTTCTTTTGTTCTGTTTTAGGACTGTACGGAAAGAATATATCACTGCAAAGTATGTAGATCATAGGTTTTCAAGGAAGACCTGTTCTACTTCCTCAGCTAAACTGAATGAATTGCTTGAGGCCATCAAATCCAGGGATTTACTTGCACTAATTCAAGTCTATGCAGAGGGAGTAGAGCTAATGGAACCACTACTGGAACCCGGACAGGCAAGGCCTCGCTTAAATTATAGAATAACAAGTAATGTGTGGCTGGGCACAGTGGCTCACACCTGTAATCCTAACACTTCGGGAGGCTGAGGAGGAAGGATTCCTTGAGGCCAGGAGTTCAAGACCAGCCTGAGCAAGAGAGAGACCCAATCTCTACTAAAAATAGAAAAATTAGCTGGGCGTGTTGGGGCATGCCTGTAGTCCCAGCTACTTGGCAGGCTGAAGCAGGCAGATCGCTAGAGCTCAGGAATTGGAGGTTTCAGGGAGCTGTGATGATGCTACCACATTCCAGCCTGGGCAAGAGCAAGACCCTGTCTGAAAAAAAAAGTAATGTGGAAAATCAGTGTAAAAGATGATTTCTTTTATAGTAATGCCATATAATGAAACTCTTATACATTGGATGACCATCTCTAAATCAAGAGGGTTGGAGAATGAAAAGGAGTGCTCTTAATAATTACTTGGGGGCAGCCGACGTAAATGAAGCTGCTTAAGCAAACAGGACATATGATCACCCGATTTATGCTTATCCTTTCCTCTTTCCTTTTTTAGGAGCTTGGGGAGACAGCCCTTCATCTTGCAGTCCGAACTGCAGACCAGACATCTCTCCATTTGGTTGACTTCCTTGTACAAAACTGGTGTGGTTTTTGTTCTTTCTGTTGAATTACCTGAGTATGCCTAATAAGTTAACACAAACCAGTCCTATGAGCATCCTGGATCAGGAACTGGCGAGCATTTTCTGTAATAAGCCAGATAATAAATACTTCTGGTTTTGTAGGCCATGAGGTCTCTGTCACAGCTATTCACCTCTGCTATCGTACTGTGAAAACAGCCATAGACAATGTGTAAACAAGTGGCTGTGTTCTAGTAAAACTTTATTACTTTATTTATAAAAACAGGGAATAAACCAGATATGGTCTACAGGCTATAGTTTGCCAACTACTGGCCTTGATAAATGTAAAATCCTGTCTCTGTGTCCAAAAATCTGCTGTACTAGAGGAATTTAAAAGAGAGAAGACTTAATAGCACAGGTCAACCAGATTTGTGAGTTTGCATCATTCATAAGTTCAGTATAAGACAGCAGCATATGTGGCTGGATCAACAGCTAAATTCAAATTTTGGACATACCGATGTGAGTATAATACGGAACACAGCAAGTGTTCTACAGCAAGTATAATATGGAACACAGCAAGTGTTTGGACTTGCTGGATTCTTTATTGGGCAGTTCTGTAAGCAACCGATTATAAGAAGGAACTAGAGCTCATCCAAAAGAGTGAACAAGAGTAAGAGGATTTGAACCGACGTTTAAAGATGGCACCCGAACACAACCAGATTGTATGTGTTCAGGCCTCTTCCTTAGAGGTAATATAACATACTGGTTAAGAGCATTGGCTCCAGAGATGGACTGCATGGGTTCAAATGCCAGCTTCATCATCCCTGTCTTGATAATCTTGAAAGCAAGCACTTCAGCCTCTCTCTTAGTGTTTTCATCTATAAAATCGAGGTTATTAATAGTGCTTACCTCATCAGATGGTTGTAAAGATTAAATGAACTAATGCATGTAAATGCTAAGAGACTGTCCCATAGTGGGTACTCAATAAATACTGACTATTATCATTGTATTGCTATAAATTTAGGTGTAATGTTAGCAACATCATACTTTTCTCTAAGTAGGTACCAAATTTGACTCAGTTACTAGCACAGAAATAAGCGGCTAATCTATAGTTTTACATTATAGAGTAATTTTTTCTAATGATACTATCATTTTTCAGTGGGAACCTGGATAAGCAGACAGCCCTGGGAAATACGGTTCTACACTACTGTAGTATGTATGGTAAACCTGAGTGTTTGAAGCTTCTTCTCAGGAGCAAGCCCACTGTGGATATTGGTAAGAGTGTAGCCAAGTGTCTCTTTATAGTAAGAGCATTTGTTCTTGTTCTGCTAAAACTAAGACTTGTGTGTTACATTGTAATTTATTTATGGGATATCCTAGATAATTATACAAATTTGTTTTTTCCCTATTTCAGTTAACCAGGCTGGAGAAACTGCCCTGGACATAGCAAAGAGACTAAAAGCTACCCAGTGTGAAGATCTGGTAAGCAAAAATGGAAGTGGGAGATTTATTAGACATCAACTGCCTTAAAATGTCATTCTGAAAAACTGAAATTGAAGATGAAAGATTCTTTTTTTTTTTTTAACATTGGCTAAAGAAAATCAGATAAGCACCATACTATATTTGAACAAGTGGTAAAATGATAAATTTGTCATCCACATGCCTTTTGAGTGCAGTTATGACATAAGAGCTGAAAGGCATTTGAGAGGTATTACCAGGTAGGCTTGTGGATTGAGATCACACTTTGTACTTGCCAGACTCTCTCTGCAGCTTAACAGTAAAGAATTATTTGGGATGCCACTTCCAAAAATTGGGCAACTAAAGCTCAGAATGTAATGATTTTCAGAATTTTAAACGTGCTGCCCTCCCAGGCCCTCCCCATCTTTCTGTGCACACTCGCCATTTTTGACCCTACTAGTTCTTTCTTAATAACCCTGGGCCTTCACTTCAGCATGATTCTCTTGAGTTTCTGCTTAAGTGCCAGCTCCAGGCCCAGAAGTTGTACTTTTTTATTCTTGAAGAATCCTTTGAGACACTTATCCCTGACCGCATTTTATAAATATGAAAAGGGGGCTGTGGATTGGACTGGGACATTACAGGCCTACCTCTTAAACTTCTCGGGCTGATTTTGCCTTCTAGCTAGGAATTTGCAGTTTTGAAGCCCATTTGATAATATTATGGAAGCTTTTAATTTTGGAGAGAAGTCAAGTTATCAAAATAAAGAAGGCTCTGCCTGTAATTCTTTGCAGTTCCTCTTAAGCCTGTCGTGTAGGAATCCAGCTTGTCTAATCAAGAGTTTTGTGTGTAGCATAGCTACTGATTATTCATTTAAAACCAGGAATAAGTAGGATTTGCTCAGTGTTTGTATAATATTGGGATGTTTTGGCATTTTAATTAAAATGGTGTGCATTTGCTGTTTCTTCTAGCTTTCCCAAGCTAAATCTGGAAAGTTCAATCCTCATGTCCATGTCGAGTATGAATGGAATCTTCGACAGGAGGAGATGGATGAAAGTGACGATGATCTAGATGACAAAGTGAGTATAAATGATGTCCTTGAATTCCTCAGCACTTCTCCCAGTTTTTCTACTCTGTATGGACAAGATGCATTTTTTTGAGATTGATTGATTTTGGTCTTATGATCCTATGTACCAGCGCCATTTTCACTGCTGTCTTTGATCCTTTGGGGGCACCACTTAACAGTTATATTAGGCAAAGTTTTCCAAAGAAACAACCAATAGGATAGGAATAGAGAAACAGATTTTTTTCTAAGGAATTGGTTCACACGACTGAATGGGCTGGTAAGTCCAGAGCCCAGAGGGCAGGCCAGCAGGTTGGAAATCCTAGCCGGAGTTGAGGTTGCAGTTTCGAGGCTAAAGGTAGTCTGGAGGCAGTATTTCTTCCTCTTTGGGGGACCTCAGTTATTTCTCTTAAGCCCCTCAGCTGATTGGGTGAGGCCTATCCACGTTATGGAGGGTAATGCCCTTTACTTGAAATCTACTGATTTAAATAGTAATTACATCTAAAAAATACTTTTACAGCAACATTTAGACTGGTGTTTGACCAAACACTGGGACACCATAGCCTAGCCAAGTTGATGTGTAAAATTAACCTTCAGAATAGCTCATTAATAAATAATAATTGTCATTTATTTAGTACAATTATAGCATAATGATACTTCAGTCAACAACAGACTACATATACAATGGTAGTCACATGAGATTATAATGGAGCTGAAAAATTCCTATCACCTAGTGACATGATAGCTGTCATAATGTTGTAGTGCAGTGCATCACTCATGTGTTTGTAGCGATAGTGGTAAAAACAAACCTACTGCATTTAAGTCATATAAAAGCATACAGTAATGTCCTAGGCCATTCACTCACTACTCACTCACTTGCCTAGAGCAACTTCTAGTTCTGCAAGCTCCATTTTTGGTAAGTACCCTATACAGATGTACCTTTTTTTATACCATAGTTTTACCGTACCTTTTCTCTGTTTAGATATGTTTAGAGATATAATATTTACCATCATATACAGTTGCCTACAATATTCAGTACAGTAACATGCTGCACAGGTTTGTAGCTTAGGAGCAATAGGCTATACTATATAGCCTAGGTATATAGTAGGCTATACCATCTAGGTTTGTCTCAGGGCCCTTCTGTGATGTTTGCAAAAGGATGAAATCGCCTAACGACACATCTCTCAGAACATATCCCTGTCATTAAGCGCCACGTCAGACTGTACTTAAATCTGGATTAGGCAGAGTTAAGCATTTTACTTATGTTATCTCACACTGTCTTTACTGAAACTCCGTAAGGATCATTGTTATTATTCCCATTTTGCAAAAGAGAAAACTTACACAAAAAGAGAATTAGCAACTTGTCTAAAGTCTTGTAGCTAGTAAAGACAATCAGTGGGATTAAACCCAGTTCTTGCTAGGTTTTTCTTAACTGTCTCTGAAAGTTAATTTATGTATTTTTCATTGGGTTTGTATTGGATTTTTCCAAAATCCAATTTTCCAAAAATCCAGTGGATTTTTCTGTGCCAGGCAGGATGTAAAGAATGGTCCAAAAAAGACCACCAGAGAAAGAGATCCTAAAGTCATTAACCACCTTAAGAGGAGATAAATTATTATAATACAGTTGCTAACCATTGTAAGAGTTTGGGGGAATTCTTGAGAGGTATTCAGAGGACCAGACAGATGCCTTAGCCTTGTCAAGCAGTGAAGATCTTAGCAAGAAGTAACATTGAAGATGGGTTTCTGAGGATAGGTCAGAGCTTACCAGGCAAAGTGGGTAGAAGTGCATCATCCCAGGGAGGGAGAATATCGTATGCTAAGACAAGGGGTTGTGAAAGAGGCTGGATGCCTGAGGAATGCTGAGAAGCGTCATGTGTGAGGTGCATTCACCTGGCTGGGTGGAGAGAGGTGGGTAGCTGCCCTGCAGATTCAGGCAGGCCAGATCAGGAAGGGCTTTGTGGGACAGATTAGGCCTTTTGGGTTTTATGGAAGCAATTGGAAGCCAACAGAGGTTTATTGTCAGAAGAGCAAGATTTCCTACCAGCTCTGGCTACAATGTGGAAAATGGGCTGGGGGAAAGAAACTGGAATCGGGGGGCCATTTGGGATGCTAGTGCTGCAGTGGGCGCTGGTGAGCACCTGCACTAGGAGTAGGTTTGAGGAACATTTCTGAGGGGCCTCCAGATGACACTGAATTTTTAAACTTGGGCAGTTGAGTGGATGCTAATGCCATCACCATGAGTACAAACACTGGAGACACTTCATAGACCATTGAAAATGGTTTGTAGTCCAAGAGATTGGGGCTGGATTTACAGATCTGTGAGTCAGCAATGTGTAGATGGCAGTCAAAGGTTGAGTGTACTTTCCAGGAGGATTTAAAGTGAAGCATATTACAAATAGGCAGAAATACTATTCAAATGTCGATGAGAGTATCCTGCCTAGGGAAGGTATTTGTTAACTAAAGGTTAAATCTACCTGTGACCTTACACGGCACTTTTGAATACTGCTGCTGATCTCTAGCCAGTGTTTCACTAGTGTGATTGCTGACAGTGTTGTAAGAAGTAAAAACATAATATCTAGATCCTTCCCTCATACTGTGTCATCACTGTGAGGCTCTCATGGCTGGCCTTATAAAGCGCAGAGAGCCACAGAAACCCCGATTACTACCTGAGCCCACCCTGCAGAGGTCCTGTATAATCCAAAGGATAGTCCTTGATTATTATCTCACCCACTGTTACTTCATCTGCCAGCCGAGCCCGATCAAGAAAGAGCGTTCACCCAGACCTCAAAGCTTCTGCCACTCCTCCAGCATCTCCCCCCAGGACAAGCTGGCACTGCCAGGATTCAGCACTCCAAGGGACAAACAGCGGCTCTCCTACGGAGCCTTCACCAACCAGATCTTCGTCTCCACAAGCACAGACTCACCCACGTCACCAACCGCAGAGGCTCCCCCTCTGCCTCCTAGAAACGCCGGGAAAGGTACGGGCTTTGAGAAGGGCTTTGTTAACTCCATCCTCAGAGCTGGTGATCTGCCCAGCTTTGAGGTAAGAACGGCCACGTTTGAGTGGCAGATTATGGAATGTGTTGTGAGGGGCAGCTTGAACGAGGGATCCTGCCATCGGCCAGGCACCAGCTGCAGGACAGGCAGTATGTGGGTGCTCCTCATGCGTTATCTTGTGTTAACCTCATGATAATCCCATGAGGTGTGTGATTTTGTGCCTGTCTTACAGAAGAGGCAACTCGGCTCAAAGAGGCAGAGTGATTTTCCCAAGGTCACACAGCTGTTGAGTGGTAGAGCTGAGATTCAGTCTGAGGTCCACGTGGCTCCAGAACCTGTGCTCTTTATAATATGGGCTGGAGTTTCAGTTCTTGGAAAACTTAATTTTTGCTACACTAAAATGCCTCTTTTGAAAATGCTAGTAGTAGTGGTGGTAGTTAGTAGTTATGAGCGCTTGCCTTATGAGAGGCACTAGGCCATGTACTTCTCATTTAATGATCTCGAAATGAGGTGGGTGCTGCAGTTACGGGCACCGTGCAGATAAGGGGGCTGAGCATCAGAGATGCTGAGTAATCAGTGGTTCTCAGCCACTTGGGGTTCTAACCCAGGTTCTGTATGACCAAAGTCCACAGTCCTGTACTCTCTGATGAAGATTGTTTTTCTGTGAGACACTGCTTGGAAAGGAATCTTGCCCAGAGGAGGGTTTGTTATGCTTTGTGTTGTCAAATGCTTCCGTAGGACTAGCACCTCAGGCTAAGGGTCCATCCAGCACACTGTCCTATAGGAACAAAGTGCTTGTCCTGTATTCCGTATCCACAGTGCGCCCAGCTCAGGAGGTCAGTGTATTCTCACCTGTACAGAGATGCCAACATCAAAGTGTCACCCCAGCAGGGGGGGATAATTGAGAGGTCCCCAAAGCTGTAGCTTTAAGTTTGGTCTGTACCAGTAAATCCAAATGCAGGATTCTCTCTGTGTGCTCAGCTCATGCTACCACAGGTTTCAAGGGTCTGTAGGCACACAATGCCATGCCTATTTGAATCACACTGGGGCTATTTTCTGGGAAATGTGAGCTTTATTCAAAACAGTGTTTTTTCAGAGCTTATTCTCTATTGAAATAGTGTTATAAATGGGAGCTGTGTTCTTAGAACCCAAATGGCCTCATAGATCATAAAGTAATAGAGAAAAGTTAAAATAAGGCTTTGGCATGGACAGTTTTCATTAAAGATAACCAGTGGCCCTAACAGTAATAGTGCATGTAAGCCAAAAGTTTGACCTGCCTGTGTTTTCTTACCATTCCATACATTAGACTAGAATGTTTTTAAATCATGAACTTACCAAACTACAGATCTATAGTGTAAGAGTACTGTGTTCTGCTTCCCTCTAGGTAATGATATTCCTTATGAGGGTAGCAGTCTGACAAGAGTAGAGATTCTCTTTCTGTACCCTACAGAGGACTGTGAGAAACCTCGAGACCAAGTACAATAAATAATGGAAACAGTGACTCCGAAAGATTTCATATCCCCTAATTGTGGTTACCGACATAGTAGTGATGACCTATCTAGACAGGCAAGGCCTACACCGGTTCAGAGAGCCTCCAGGTCATTGCAAATCCTGAAAATGCTCTCACAGGACAAAGCGACACTCAACCTTCCTCCACCATCTTCTATAATTTTATCTCAGTGGGACACAGAAACCCATAAAATATACTGTCTGATTCAATGCCAAGCATATCTCTCCGGTCTTGAATAAATTCTAACCGGCTCTTTACCAAAGACTCAGAAGATAAAGACTAAATTTATTTAGTGATCCAGCTGCTAAAACAAGTGCTTAGAGATTTAGCCATAGCAACCATGGTCAACTAAGGATAGAGTGCTTACCCCTCATCCCCAAAAAAAGCCTGTAATTGAAAATAGAAATTCTCCCTATTAAAATCAGAGGTTCTCCATGGCTGTTCATAGCAGAACATCCAATTCAGAGATTGCACCTATCTGCTGGTGAGACATGAGGCGCCCAGCCTTCTCGTGACTTTTATAAGGGACTTGAAACGTGAGCTGTCCTATAGCTAGCTGAGCTCACATGCCCTTACATTTGGAAAACTGATAAGGTTTAGAATGGAATTCTTGGAAGACATTGTTAAAGATCAGCTGATGCTGTGCGTGCCCAGATAATTCTTCTCTGTTTTGTGGCCCCAACATTTTTTTCATTTCCTTTTGTCGAACTGATAGAACTATTTACATGAAAACAAGGGTGTCCTGAATCTGTCATTTGGGTTGCTCATGCCCCATTGCAAGTAGAGCGGAGATCTCTGTTTGCAGCAGAAGTCATTTCCACAACTGTGAATTTAGAGATCTGAAGGATGATGGCTTCCGGTGAGGCAGAAACAGGCACTCATGATTAAGTCCCCACAAATAAGAGGAATACAAGGGGAAGAGTAGAAAGAATTATTCTGAATCCAGCTGAGGAATATTTTCAAGAAACTCCAGCTGCCTCATCAAAATTCAAGGAAGTTTGACCTAAATTACCATCAAGCAAAGCCCCCTTTTGCTTAAGCCGTGCTCCAGGCAGACTCTCAGAAGAACTCCGCAATTCAGAATCCCAAATTCACCAACCTTAAGCCTCATAAAGAAACATTTTGCTGCCTAAGCCCCTCTTCAGATGTGCAGTCCAGAGAGATTAAATCAAATCTATAAAATTAATTTTGATATGTAGAAGTTTCCCATTTATGATCAGCGGCATCCTCCTGACCCACTTTACTGTATGTTTATTAAGACCAGGCTTGCCAGGATTAGTTTCTTTTTAATCTTTAAATTAAAATAATGTCATAGAATGTGTTTTGTTTTTTTTTTTTTAGAGCTAGGTTGCTGAAAAATTAACACGATCTGCACCCATTGTACAGATAAGGAAACTAAGCCCAGGAAACATTAAGGAACTTACTGATTCAGGTCATGTGATGGCTAAAGTAGGGTAGAAAATCAAAATGGGCTTAAGATTCATTAGACCAGATCTGGTTTCTTCTTTTTCGTTTTGAGGAAGATGATCCATCTGTTTTGCCCGCCTTTATGGAATTATCATCAGAATCCAATGAGAATAATATTTGGAGAAAGCATTTTATAAAATACAGTCCCTACATTATAAGAGATTTCTATTAGGATTGGAAAGCTGTGACTCCATAGATGTTTCTAGAATATGGAAGAATGTGGTGGACAACAACACAATGCTGCAATACCTATCTCACAAAACAGGTACTGCTTGCTTATAATTGGTTCGTTTGTTTGAATTAACTATCTTTTAAATTTAAGCTATAGAACTATGACTTTCTCCCATTGCAAAATTTCATGCCTTTTATATAGCAGTAACAAAAGCTTATACCTAACGTAGAGTCACTAACTCATGTGAGATTGTTGTTGAGATTAAATGGAAGTATATTTAGCTCAGCGCCTGGTGCATTGTGTTCCATAGAGGATGCCACTGCTTGTATCGATGCCACAACTCTTCAGCTTTTACAAAAGAGTTACTTGGGAAATAGGGACCAGAGTGAAGTCACCCAAATCTGCTAAATTAACAGATGCTCTAAATAATAAGACCTAGCACTTGGTAGGCACCTTAGCTCAAAGAAAGGATTTTTTAAGTAAATGAGTGATAAATTCAATCTTAGGAAGTTTATTTAACTTACTTAAGAGCTAACAATTCAAGCTTTTAGAACTATGAACTGATATACTAATTACAGTACATTCCCTTCTAGTTTGAAATCAGGCCCCTAGAATCAGGCATTATATAGCTCCTCTGAATAGGATGTGCATGTAAGTATTAATTCTACATTTCATACACATTTGCTGTAATGCAGACAGACTTCCTACTTCAAACAGGCTGTAACCTTGGGCTGATATACTAGCACATGATCTACACAAAAGCACTGCAGTGCCTGGCATACTTAGAGCCTCAGTAGATGCTTGTTGATGAAGACTTGGCACCATAGAGTATATCAGACCAGATGTTATCCTTGCCATCAGTTTAGTTGAAGAGACTAAATATCCTCGGTAATCAAATATACAGTAGTTTGAGAATAATAAGCTAAGGCAGATCAGTCTGTGTCAGACCAGACTGTGGCTATCTCGGCTTTCAAACAACACTTTCTCATCTTCCAAGAAGCCTTCTTTTCCTTGCCCCACAAAAGAGACTGTGGTTTCTTCACCGTAAGGGCCAGTGCTGCCCCTGTATTCATCTTGTCCTAACATTAAGCTGATCTTGCCAATTTTCAGGGTCTTCAACTGAAAAACAAAGATTGAGTGTCTGCCTTGCTGGGTTACTGCTTAAAGAACATGAAATAATGTCAGTGAAGTGACTGGCACATAGTGAGCACTCAATAAATAGGAGTTTGTTTGATCTTACCACATGTATTCAGTTCAAGAAATATTCCAGGCACTGGGAATGTAGGGAAGAATGGAGAAGTAGTTCCTGCTCTTGCAGAGCTGGCATTCCAGGGGGAGAGGAAACAGTAGAATGTCCCACTGGGGCCCGAAGTGGTGCTTCTGGAGGAGAGAAGGAGAGGTGCTGCTCACAGCTTGGAAGAGAGGGTCATGGAGTCTTCATCGCACTCTCCCAGTTATGAGACAGAACTCCTCAAGGGCAAGAGCTGTGAATGAGCTGTCTTTGCATCCCTGGCACAGAGGGTAGGTTGTTTGTCAGTGCTTACTGAATGCATAAACAACAACAGAAAGAATCAGTGAAAGCGAGTCCCAAAAATAGGTGGCCGGAGTAAGGAGGGGGCACTCATAAAACTGAACCAGATGTCCTAGGGGTGTGATAGTTGACTTGCTGAAAATCTTTCTATGAAATTTTTGCAGCAGTTATGCCCAAACATAGCCATGGAAGCATTTTATACATTTCTTCAACTTTCCTTGGAGGTCTGTGGCAGTAGTGAGGACAGACAGAGGAGTGGAAAGGGTGAGGCCTTCCACAGCATGCGAAAGTGGCCTGCCAT